ACAAGCCCTTGCTTCTTGCTGTACTGGGTCGTTTGCTTCACTTTCGGCCGATTCAAGCGATTGTGTTCGCTGGAAATGATTGTTTCCGGACCTGATTATGCCGTGAGAATTGTCGCGCTGAACAAATTTCTTTGCGCTTGAAAAGTCGGTAGCACTTTCTGATGACTGCGTACGCTCATGTCGTTTGCTGTTGGTATTCTCACTGTCTTCATGTATTATTGTACCTTCGTCTTGGTCAACAGCATCTGACAGCACATCTTCATCTGTAGTTGACTCAACATCATAGCAACTCGATCTAGAAAGTAATCGTGACTTCCATTGCCAAAGACATTTTCGAGAAATTTGGCGTCGCGACTGATACAAACGCGGCCAGTTTTGAGATCTTAAAAACCGATAAGCCTATTCATGCTCGGAATAGCCAGCAAATCGACAAAGTTTAGCGCGGGCATCAAGTTTGCTCCTTTATTCTTTTGGAACGGTCACAAAAGCATGACAACCAAATACTTTTAGGTTTGCCAATACCGGCTTCCTTCCAGTCCAGACTTGGTATGGTGACTTACCAAAGGGAATACTGCGCGTCGGGCATCGATTTTGCAGAAAAATTGGTAGTCATGACGGCTTCACCCCAGTACATTTTTGGCGATTTTGCATGCTCAATTATACAACGAGAACATTCCACCAATGTCTTATTTATGCGCTCAGCAACTCCATTGAGCTGACGTGTATATGGCGGCGTAATATTCTGGTCAAGGCCGCGTCGCGAACAGAACATGGTCATCTCATTTGACTTGCACTCGCCACTGTTATCGGAACGAATCGCCTTCACAGCGTTGTCATTTGTGTTTTGGCAAAGGCAACAAAATGAGCAAACTTGCTGGCAGTTCTGACTTGTTTCGAATTAAAATCACCCTGAAAAAAAGCAAGTTCTCATCAATAAATAAATGTGTCAAAGTACCGCATAATACTGATGTCGAAGTCTGCATTGGACCACTCACGTCACTGTGAATAACTTTCAAATGTCTGGTAGCATGCTGAGAAGACTTCGACTGAAGCTTGCCCGAGATAGTTTGCCGAACGCACAGCCTTGGCAAACATTCCCACTGCTTCACAAATGCAAATCCAATACCAACTCCTTAGTTCTTATTGACAATTGTATCCAGACTAGAGTAGCCTAAATGACCAAGTCAAAAGTGTCAGAGGTACGAAGTGGTGTCTCCATGGTATCCCAACGAGCTCATCATATTGGCTTCATGCACAACTTAAAAAGTCCTCTACCATTGCGTACACCAAGTTTCAAGCGTAAGCTTGCAACTCGCGATAGTTGTAAAAGTGTCGGGCCCAACATCTTTCGTGAATCGTCCAACGGAGAACAGATTGCGAGAAAGCTCTGGAATATGCCATACCGAAGTCAGAACACCTTTTTTTCGGTCTTTTTGGCGTTGTCATTGTCACCACAATGTCTCCTGTGCCCACGGCTTGAACAATGCCGTCTTCTGCAAGGTGGACGTCAACCGGAGACATAACCTCGTAATTCTTCATGTACTCTTTCGAGTCCGTCATATGCTGCGTCGTACACGAGTCGACCAGCCATACGCAGCCTGATTTAGTAGCGCATTCATTTTCACCAACCGAAAAGAGATAATCTTCCGAGTAATCCTTACTCCGAGCGACATTCACACGGTGCGATCTTTGACGCTCCGTGTACCTCCAGTACATGTCACTATTGTGGAGAACACTGAACACTTGGCTATCCAGTGTTTGTGTTCTCCACAATAGTGACATATACTGGTGGATTTCGTATGTGAAGGATGTCCCTTACGCCGCCCACCGTCTGTCATCGCGAACGCTTTTCCTTGTTCTTTTCGTTTCATGTCTTCATGTAGAAGCCTCAATGTCACAAGCTCTCACGATAGCGAGTCCGATCTTGACTTCAAAGCAGAGATGAAAAGCGCAAACGAGTCACTTAAACTTCCAACCAACTCATCATCAGTGACCGAAGCGCCCACCGCATCCAGCTGCTCCACCAGGGTCTTCATCTTGTTGATGTGCGTGAGCGCATCATCACCTTCATCCACTTTAGTCGTGAAGAAACGATGACGAAAAAAGAGCTTATTTACAAAGCTCTTCTTCTCATAGTGACCTTCAAGGCGTGACCATGCATCATACGCTCCATTTGCCGACCGAATTAAAGGCAGTTGCGAGTCTTCCTGCGCCAATCAAATGGCTGCAAGCGTTTTCCTTGACTTGCGCTTGTACGTCGACTGGTTTAGCGAAGTCGTCAGACTCTCCCACTTGTTCGCCCCATTTGTGACATCCCACAGGTCTCGCCCCTCCAGCATTATTTGCATCTTAAAATTTCAAGTAGGCAAGTTTGTTTGTCGAGTAGATGCGAGAAGTACTGGCGGTGGCAGCGTCCATGGCGAAGGCGTATTCGGAGTCGGGGGCAGAGAAGGCGGAACTTGGGCTCATAACCAGATGTTAGGGCAAGTGCGTATGTTTTGGCAAAATGGAAAGTAAATAGGTCCTTAGTTCGCTGAGCTACCTCTACGCCTATCTAGAATATTCTACCAAATATTATATTGGATTCTTTATTGGATTTGTGTATCTTTTATGCGCTTGTAGATAGCCTCTTTGCTGGATGATTCACTGGATACTTGGCTAACCCACGAAACCGCAACCTAAGCGATCCGCATGTCCACCCAGTTAATATCGATATCTAACAGGTTAACGGCCGCTCGACGAAACGCTTCCTTGGCACCACTAGTCTGCACGACAAGGCGCATCTTTAACAACAAACTCGCCGACAAAACGAATAGGATTTGTTAATCCTCATTAGCAACACAGACGCTTGTCATGCCTTCCGAGATATGGGCTTACATGCTTCTTGTTTAGTCAAACCAATGGACTATTTCAATTTGATCTGACTGTTCCAAATCTCCAACAAGTTCCTATAGTTCTATTTGTTTTGTGAGCTACCACGTTTGAAAGTTTGCTTCGTCATACATTTTGCCTTTATCTGTCATTGTCACGCATGAAGGGTTTGTTAGGCATAGCTCATAAGGGGAATTGCTTCCAAAACGCAACGAGGTATGTATGATACGTTTTGAAAAGGTTTCTTCAGCAGCAGATAGCAAAAAGCATATATTTTTAGGTCCTGCGTACGCAATCTATTAGCTAGTTTACGCCTCTTGAAGCATATTCTTCTTCGAGGCTCGCTTACTAATTCCGCCAATCAGATCGTCGCATCCCATCCGAAGTTGGATCTTGCCCACCCAAACTTGGATCATCTCATCCCAACTTGTATCTTGCAATCAGGCAAAACTCTTTCTTCAGATGTGCTGTCACCATTTGCAGAAACACATGATGCAACATTATTCCTTACCTGAAGCAACCGGTAATTACTGGTTCTCGTCTCCCACTCGACTCGACTGTTTTTGGTGCTTGAAGAATGCCGAGTCTTTCCCGAAGCACACAGAACTGAGCTGCAAGAATTGCCTTGGTCATGATATCCGCCAGCATGTTGAGAGTCGAGATGTATTTCAGTGCTACTTCGCCGTCTTCAATTTTTTTGCGTACAAAATGATAGCGTATATCAATGTGTTCTGTCCGCTTGTGAAACTCGGGATTGTAAGCAAGCGCAATTGACCCTAAATTGTTCTCGTAGATCTTGACAGTATCGCTTTGTGCCATTTCACCGAGTTCACCAAGAATCGTCTTGGGCCATACTGCTTCTCGAGCCGCTTCCAAAAGTGCCATTTACTCGACTTCTGTCGACGCCAAATTTACTGTACGCTGTTTCTTGCTTCTCCAGCTTGTCGTGCCGCCGCTCTTCACGAATGCGCAGCCGCTTGTGCTTCTTCTTGACTCGACATCACCAGCCCGATCGGCATATGAAAACCCCACAACTTCATGTAAGCTATCGGCTTTAAATCCTATGCCAAAAGTCCTTGTGCCTTTAATTTATCGGAAAACTCAATTTAAAGCTTGCCAGTGCGTTGGGCATGGATCAGCCGCAATTTGACTAAGCACTCCCACCACAGCTACCAGATCTGGACGTTACCAAACATCAAATACATTAAGCATTCGACGGCATTGCGATATGACACGTTAGTCGTAGTCTCTTTATGAATACAACCGCCATCACACATACATAGCCTTAGTAAGCTTGAGTACTGAATCTTGTGGTGTCTTCACAGGATTGCTTTTTTTCATCTTGAACTTCTTCAAGACATCGTTCGCAAATTTGGTTTACCGCTTTGTGACCGTCCCAGCTTCCGTGTCTTAACTTATCTCCATTCCAAGAATATACTTTAGCTGACCCTGTCATTCATCTCGAAGCTGAGCGCTTGCTTGGCGTCTTGAAGCATCTTGATATTGCTGCTTGCAAAAATTAGGTCGTCAACGTAAAGCGCAACAAAAATCATTTGTTGACCGTGGCGTCTGATGTAGACACAGTGGTCTGATTCGCACTTCGTGAATTCAAGAAACTGCATGAAATCGTCGATAGTCTTGTTCCACATCAGGTCGAGCTTCATCGATATATTCATCAGGTTGAACCATAAAAATGTCTTCTTCAAGCACTCCATTTAGAAAAGCAGTCTTGACGTGTTTTGATGTATCGTCAGGTTGTATTTTATGCTCAAACCATGAAAAACTCTGATCGATGTAGACTTCGCCACAAAATTAATGTTTCTTTGTAGTCGATGCCGTACTTTTGTGCAAAACACTTGGCAGCCAAATAACGCTCAGTCTCACCGTTTTGATTCTCTTTCACGCGAAAACCCATCTGTTGCCGATTGTTTTCCGTCCATGCGGTAGTAGTACTAGCTCCCAGGTCTTGTTTCTACGGAGTGACTCTATTCTGAGTTGCATGCCTCACGCCACTTAACTGCTTCGCTGAATTCCATAGCTGACTTAAACGCTGTCGGCATATCTCCCTCTGACTCCACGATAAAGGCGGCTTCAGCACCTTGTGCTGCGGCTGACATTTCATCAAGACCTTGATGTCCGCTATACTGATTGAGTCTCTTGTATTCTGGGGCTATCATCTCTTTTTCGTGTGACTGCGTTCGCTGATGTCTTTTGTTGCCGGACCGGACAAGGCCTTTAGAGCCGCTTCGCAGGACAAAACGTTTGACGTCTGGAAATTCCGTCACCTTTTCCAATGACTGCGTACGCTCATGCCTTTTCGCGTCAAAATATTGCTATTGCGCTCATCTGAAACACCTTGGGCTCCGTTATCTAATTGCGAATCTTCATCTGTAGTTGCTTCTTCCTCAATGCCCTCTTGTCCATGAACACAGTCTTGACTTTCACAATCGAAATGTCCTGAAGAAATTTGCGTCGCGGCTAATCGCCACATGACCGCTTTCAAGGTCTTCAAAAGGACGTGCCTCTTGATGTTTAGAATAGCTGAACGATCGACAACGTCTTGCTCGTGCGTTCTACTTGTTTTTTTTTTCCTTTGGCACCGTGACAAAAGCATGGCAACCAAACACATTAAGGTTCGCCAAAATGAGTTTTCTTTCAGTCCACACTTGATAGAATGATCGGTCAAGCGATATACTTCGTGTAGAACTCCGATTACGAAGAAAGTTGGTAGTCATGACAGCTTTTCTCCAATACTTCTTTGGCAAGTTGGCGTGTTCGACATACAATGTGCACATTCAATCAAAGTTCCGTTTATGCGCTCGGCTACCCCGTTAAGCTGAGTAGTATAAGGCGGCGTAAACTTTTGAAAAATAACACGACGCTGGCAGAACTTTGCCATCTCGCTTGACTTGTATTCAGCACCACTATCACAGCAAAGAGACTTCACAACGTTGCCGACTTGTGTCTCTGCAAACGCAAAGAATGGCAAATTCGCTTGCAACTTCTGACTATTATTGAAGCAAATAAACCATGATAAAGTGCGAAAAGTCGTCAATAAACGTGACGAAATGATTTTTGCAACTAAACGTTGTTGGTTGCATCGGTCCGCACACATCTCTGTGGATAACTTTTAAAAGTTTTGTCGCGCAGTGTGTCAACTTTGACAAGAAGACTGCACATGTTTGCTTACCTAACGAGCAGCCGTGACAACGCTCCCACTGCTTTACCGATGCAAGTCCTATGCCAATACCATAATTTTTATCCACAGTGTCATTAAGACTTGAATAGCGGATGAGACCAAGATAAAAGTGCCAGAGGTACGACGTGATGTCCCCAAGCATCCCAACGAAGTCGTCACATTGGCTTCATCCACCAAAATCGGAGTCATGCACAACTTGAACGACCCTTTCCTTCTCGCTCACCAAACTTCCAGCGTAGACCATTTGCTTCAGCAATGTAACCATCACGCTCAAAGGTGACCAGGCCCACATCTTTTGGAAAACATCCAAAGGAGAAAAGATTACGAGAAAGCTTCAGGATGTGCCACACTGAAGCCAGCACACCCTTCTTCATTCCACATGGCGTATCCATTGTCATGACGGTATCACCCGAGCCAGCTGCTTGAACGATGGCATCATCCGCAAAATGCACGCCGACCGGAGTCATAATCTTAAAATTCTTCACATACTCTTTCGAGTATGTAATATGTTGCGTTGCACCCGAGTCGACCAGCCATACGCAGCTTGGTTTGGTGACGCAGTTATTCCGACCAACCAAACATAGGTAATCACCCGAGTAGTCCTTGCTCAGAGCAATATTTGCACGCTGCTATCTTCGACGCTTTGTGTCTTCACGGATGCGAGCTGGTCACTTTGCAATTCTATGTCCAAGCTCACCACAGTAGTGACAAGTACTTGATGCTATCTCTGAAGCAGTACAACCATTGCGTCGTTCGCTGTCCGTCATCACAAACGTTTGCCCTTGACAACATGTGCAACACTATCAATACGCCACCCTTTTTTCTTGCGTTCCATATCTTCGTGCAGCAGCCGAGACGTCACAAGCTCCAACGACAACGAATTCGGCCTTGACTCTCAAGCCGTGATGAGAAACGCGAACGACTCACTGAGACTTAAAAGAAGCGTGATAACCAAGTCATCTTCAGTTACGAAATCGTCCACCGCATCGAGCTGCTCCGCCAAAGTTTTCATCTTTTTGATGTGCTGACGCACATCATCACCTTCATCCATTTTGGCTGTGAAGAAACGACAACGAAAAATAGCTTATTTGCCAAAAGCTTCTTCTTGTTATGACCTTCCAGCCGCGACCAGACATCATACGCGTCCTTGGCCCAGCGAACCAGCGGCGATTGCCAGTCCTCCATCGCGTGACAGATGGTTGCAAGTGCCGTTCGAGCCTTGTGCTTAAATGTTGATTGGTCCAGCGCGCTACCCAGCTGCTCAAGCTTAACTTTTTCATTCACAACCTCCCATAGGTCGCGCTCCTCCAGCACCATCCGCATCCTAAACTTCTAGGAATGAAAAATGTTCCTTTGTTCCGTCGAACTTGCTGAAACGACATGGCGTAGCTTCCTTGGTGACAGCAAAGGCAGTGTCGGAGGAGGGGGCGAGGAGAGAATAGTGTGCAGGTTTTGGGCTTATAACATGTTAAAAGGTTGCTTGAACAGTAGATAGCAAAATGAAAAGTATAAATATTTAGGTCCTTAGTTCGAAACTTATTAACTACTCTAAGCCTATTGGTTGTTCTTGAATCTTCCTCTTCTTCTTCAAGTAGTTCGCCAATCAGAGTGTCCCATCTAATTCGAACTTGGATCTTGCCCATCAAAAAGGAATTGTAAGTCCTCCATAGCCACACGGACGATTGCCATGCCTTCCGAGATACGAGCTTACATGTTTCTTGGTTTGTCGAACCATTGCACTGATCCTATATGATTTGACTGTTCCAAATCTCCAAACGGTTGTGTCCCTATAGTTCCAAATGTATTGTGATCTTCCACGTTTGAAAGTTTGTTTTCTCAGACATTTTGCATTTGTCTATCATTGTTGCAAACGAAGAGCTTGTTAGTCAAAGCTCGTTAACGGAAACTGCTTCCAAACATGCAACGATGTAAGTATGATACGCACAACTCGCTGACCAACGAACAGGATTTGTGAGTCATACTTAGTGACACAGACGATTGTCATGCCTTCCAAGATATGAGCTTATATGCTTCTATTGTTAAAGATGCGCTTCGTCGTGCAAACTAGTGGTGCCAAGGAAGCGCTTCGTCGAGCAGCTATCAAACCGGTATATATCAGTTTCACCGGTGTTGACGGGCTGATCATGCATGTTGCGGTTTCATAAGCTGGATAGGTATCCAGTGAAGTATCCAGCAAAAAGGCTATCCATAAGCGCATCAAGGGTACATGAATCAAGTAAACAATCCAGTAGAATATTTGGTAGAATATTCTAGATAGGCTTAGAGGTAGCACAGCGAAC